ATGCCACCTCATCACATGTGTGTTTGTGTTCATCCTGGTGGTGCACGTTTAGCTCCCATCCTCTTTCTGTTTTTGACAGCGACGCCTTTTCGAAATTTAAAACGGTTCGGCCAGAGCTGTTGATTTCTGATGATTAGTTCTAGAAATTTTGAAGCCATTATATGATTTGTACGCAAGCCATACTTTTGATGTGTATACTTTCATTTTTTATGTTTGATTATGTTGTGGGAGTTGGTCTTTTCTCTCAGAAAACGTTTTGGTATTAGTGTTTTAAGTGTGTAACTGTTTAGCACATTAGGTATTTTGTTTTAGCAGGTAATACATTGTTAAGTCCCGGGAAAAAGAACTACTGCTCAACCTGTATTTTGTATTTTGGGAGTTTTTACAGCTTTAGGTACTCTCTTGGGTATTTTGCCGAGAAACGGTCAACCTTTTGCAAGCTGCATAAAAAAGTAATCGCTCTTTATTATCTTGTCAAATGTATTCAGGGAGTTGCCTTCTTGAAAAAGTAAGCCGCATATACGTAGTAGCATTTCTGGCAGAGGTATCTTGAAAGGTACTAAGGCGGACCAACGATAGGTCATTTTACAAAGATCACCGTGAAGACAGCAGATCTAGGGCTACGGAAGTAGAAGGAGAAAATCCGAAATCGTTTGGGACGGTATTCTACAGTCAAGCTTTGCTTCATTTTTTTTTTCCGGAGTTGAGGTAAGTATTAGACCTAAAACCTCTATTTCTGGAAAAGGAGAGGTCATTTGTGTTGAAGGCCAGTTTTCAGTTAATTTGTAACTCATCAAAGTTTGGGGACTTCTTAGGCTTCGTTTGGTTTTTGTTTTGCGCTAACCCGTAGGTCTTCAAGATCTAGGACTGTTCTGTTTGTGAAGAATGATTGTAAGTTGTAGGAAAAGAAAATTCATAAAAAAGTTAGAAAAACTTAATTTTTTAATGAGGGATTTCGTGCAAAATTTTGTATTTTGTAGCACTTGTAAGTTTAGTAGCGAAACGGAAATGGAATAATCTGTTACGGTAGGAAAATTGAGGTGAAGTCAAAAAAAAGTGCGTACAGACAGATTTTTGGTTGTTGATGTAGAAGCACATAGGGCAGTGGTGGCGGAAAAAGTAATGTTGACTGCATGTTTAGAGAAGAAGCGATATGAACAGTTTTTGTGTCCATCAGCGTCTGAATTTCTACTTCGAATGCAAGTCACTAACGCTTTTAGCTTTTATTAGGTTTTGTGAGTGTGTTGTACAGTTCTGTTGTTCGGATTATGAATCTGCAACAAAGTGATATTTCTATTTTGGTCACTTTTAATGAATTATTCTATTTTGGTCACTTTTAATGAATTGCTAGGTAGTATTCTTTCATTTCATTGGAAATTAGTACTCTACTTCAGTGAGTGCCACTGCTACCTCACTATACTCAGCTTTTTTGCCAGTGATTTTGTGGTCGTGGGATTTCGATGGTCCTTAAATTGTTTGGAAGATGAAAGTATCTACTTGTAGTAGGCTTTATTAGATTCTGTTTTGACTTCTTCATACATCTCTCAGTTATAATTGCAGTTTTTGTTAACCGTTGCTTGCAAAGAAGACTTTTGTCTCTTAGGTGACATCATTTTTTAGATGCTTCTTGCATATTTTCATGTTTTACAACTGCACCAAAATTTGGGCGTTGATTTGTTATGGTTTTGTAAAGGTCTCTTTTTCAGTTTTCCTGCTGTAGCAGCACAGCCCTCTAAATGTTGATTAAACTAGACGACTCAAGATGGTGGGATGGAGATTTTGAACAGTTCAGTTTCGCGCAAAATGACGTTTCCTCAGTGACCAACCAAGTAGCTGATCTCAGCTTACGAGGTGAAATAATGCGTAAATTTTAAGCATTCTTACTTCTTACGCTTACTTTTATAATTATATGGTTTCTTTTAATTGAATTCTACAAACACAAAATTAGGGTGAAAAACAGAGTAAGGAAGAACGAAAATATGGTCTTTTAGTCTTTCGAAGTACTAATAATTTCGTTCATTCACCTCTTCGTTATACTCAAAGTAATAACAAGACCATTTATTTCATGGTGGTTTCATTAAAAACAGTTTGTCCACTTCTTGATCAAAAAAATTATAAGTTGCAGAAGTTTAAAATATTGGCCAAAATTTTTTTTCAAAATGTATTTTTTTTCTGTGTTCATTTTGCCAAATGAATTTGGGTGAATGATTTTCCAAACAAGTATCATTATATGGTTCTCTGTTTTTTATTCTTCATTCCTCTCCTCTTCAATACGTTTAATTTTTTCAAATACAATGCCATTTTTACGCTTCGTTCTAATCAAAAATATTTTTGTAATCTTTGAAAACATGGCTTTTTTGCCTTTATCTGAATCAAATTTTTATGCCCGATTCTGTATAATACTCCATCCATTTTTAAATGACCAGGCAGTTTCTGGGCATTAGGCGATCAAAAGTTTTTTAGCGTACAAAACTCACACATTTCTTTGTTTTATTATAAGTTAAAACTAGAAGCATATCAATAAAGATTAATTGAAAACATAGCTAAGACTCAAGCGATTTGTCATCGAATGCAGAGTGCTGAACTCTTACACAAATTCAAGCATTCTTTTTCCTCATTCAGGATTTTAGTGAAGGAGGTACTAATTGTATTTCGGCATATCAATTTGTCGTTTGTTGACCAGTTTTTCGTGCTATTCTTCGTAGGTTCACAAATCAAATTTCATTCCAAAGTCAAATTCTGAGTTTTTTATTTTACACAACAGAAGTGATGATTTTATAATTTTAACCAGTCCTGAATCAGCGGGATACATGAACTTTCAAGCTGATCAGGGTAGTTCAGCAATTCGTTTTTAGAAGGCCTGTGTTGTACAACATGCTGCGTCAATGTAGGGAATGACAGGTTTTCGTTAGTTATGCATTATCGCTCAGAGTGGCATAAATACAACCTACGGCGGAACTTACGTGGGAAGCCAGTTATTTCTGAAGAAGATTTTGAGAAATTAGTTTCGGAAGAGGGTAAGATTCCCATTTAAATGCACATAAATTAGGTTTTGCTATTAATTTCTGGTGTTCCATTTTTTTTTTATTATTTGTTCACTGGAATCGTTTTCAGATGAATCAAGTTCTTCGTCTTCTGATTCTTCGCGCGAAGAAATAGGTTTACGGTTCTTTGAGGGAGCCCGCGAGTATTTTGTTCATGACGGGAATGTGTATTCTCTGTATAAGTCGATTTTGTTCAGGGAAGAGAAAGTGTCTCGCTCTGTATTTAGCCGGCCTTTAAACTGCGGAATTTTTTTATTAGAGGCTGGCCATTTTGCCGGAGCAGTTTTCAACGGGTATTATTAATTGGGTCCTGCTTTTTTCATTTCCATGTTTCACTTTTTAACTTCGTTTTACTTTTCTGGTTTTAATAAATTAACCTCATCATTTTTTAGTGATGTTGTTATCGCTAGTAAAACATTTCATCGATACACAGTAAGAGCAAAACAAGGTGGAGTGCAAAGTTCTGCTGATGCCAAAAGCGGATCAGTTAAGAAGAGTGCTGGAGCTAATCTACGAAGGTGTTAGGTTTTTTGCTGTGGTGAGGCTCTGAGGATTTGTTGTTTTTTTTTATACGAGGCGTATTGCGTTTTATTCCAGGTATAACGAGAAAGCATTGAAAGAAGATATCAAAGAGTTTTTTTCCAAGTATTCTGGGATCATACAAGAATGCCCGTTAATATTTTTGCGTGCTCCGATGTATAATAGGTATGATTATTTAATTGTATTTGCTTTTCAAGTTTGATGAAGTAGTTTTGGTCGAAGTGAGCATTTTCCGGTGTTTTTCTAATAGAGAATTCCAGTGTCAGGTGGCTGTCGCTACTAATAAGCGTGTGTAGTTGCGCTTAGGGTTTTTGTCAAACTTGCTGTTAAACCATTGCAGGTTTTTTCTGTGTTATCTAATAGTTGGAATTAGTGGTGCATTCCGGATTCTAGGCAGAAAGGCCTCTACAGTTATCAGAAAGCGGGCTAGGCGCAATAGATATCACATACTAGTTAAATTTTGACAAAAGGCTGATCTGGTTCTACAAGATGAGTGAGGAGAATAGTAACATCTAATTTTGAGGCATTCATTTTCTTCATTTTTATTTCGAAGAATAGCAGTGAAATATTCAACACCAGTGTACGGATATGATTTCTACTAACTGATAAGCCGCACATTCTATTTTTTTTTCTGTTGATGAACAAGATTTCACTTAGCCTCTTGAGTTACACAGTTAACCGTTTTAAAACTGTGTGTGAATTTTGGCCGGGTTTTTTCTTGTAATTTTCGTGCTTTTCGCCACTTCTTAAACTTAAATTTGATTCCTGTCAACGTATGCTACTTCTTCCAATTTGTGAACGGTGGTGCCAGTGAATTTTGTGAATTGAAAGTGGAACATACATTTCGTATTTGAATAATAAGGTTTTGTCGAACAAATAGGACATTTGCTTCCGGGATTATCTCAGGAGTAGCTGTATTCTTTATCGCTGATATATGCTGTTCTAGAAACTTGCCGCTTTGGTATTTTTCAAAATTCAGACTGTTTGACTGGAGGGACTGCATTAAAACGGGCCCCATGCAAAACATTTGGTAGCCACTCTGAAATTTAATGTCGTTGCGAAATTGGACATTATTTACTCGTATAACGGTTGACTTTCTACAAAATAAAAAATTTAGCTGGGTGTTAGTTGAACATGAGGGGAAGTTTTTTTTTTCTGAAAAAAAAAAAAAAAACTTGCTTGCTATAAAGCCTTAGTTTGGATTCAACAAAAGCGTTTCTCATAATCTTATGAAAAGAAAAATAATTTCTCGGTTTTCTGCATGTAAAGGAGGCTGAATATAATTTTTTTATACAATGACAGGTTAATCACTGTACTGGTAGGTGCTGATAAATTTTGCGTCGAAACCTAGACTTCAAAATGCATTGGTTAATTCTTTTAACATTCATTTCATGCGATCTCTGTCTAAAATCAGCCCATTCATCTTTGGTGGCATATCTTTGGAAAATACCAGAGTTCTCCTAAAGTTCTTCAGTTTTTGTTGTCAGCTTTTTAAATTATACATTTTATGCTACAGCTTGTGAGTCTTACGAAAATAGAGAGAGGAGTGTAGCATATTTTAAAATTCCCAGAAATGTAATTTTTAAAGAGCAGTGTGTTTACGAGTGGAAACATCAAGCGCGGTCTTAAAAAGCATTCTTAAAGCAAATTTGTTGATGGTATTAGTAATCTGATGTTTTTGAGAAGCGATAGGAATTTATTAAACTTTTTACTATTTTTTGTGCTTTCCTTGCTGGCTTCATCTTTTGCATTTTGGAATTAATTGTTATTTGCGGTGTGTTTTTCTTTCCACTAGCTACATATGCTTTCTGCACTTTTTCGCAAAGCCTAACCCTTTTTTTTTTTGAAGAACGTAAATAAGCTTTGCAATGTTTGAGTTTGATGAGCCGTTGTCGGTGTTTTCTTGAATGAAATTTGGCAGAAGTTTCTTGCCTACGCTTGGCGCCATGAAATCTTCCTTTCTGTTCGATTCTAAAATATGGTAGAGACTGCCGTAAAAGAGTTGAAAATATAATATTTATCAATTATCTGAAACCATATTAAATAAAACCTTTGCGATTTCCAAAATAAAGCTATCATCTTTACGACAAAAATCACTGAAAAGAATTTGCTTGGAGAAAAAAACTGGAGGCTCTCATAAAACTAAGATTAACCTTTCACGGTTTTCAGTTGAAACGCAAGTCTCAATTCCTGCTCAAAATTTTATCATTTTTTCAAAACTTAAATACGGTTCAAAACTCTATGAAAATATCACGATGTTAGTTATAAATAAACCCACAAGAAATCGGCTTTCGAGTTATTCATAAATTTGAACATATTTAGAATGAAGGTGTTTTTTACGAAGAAATTGTTCGAATGCGGAAATAACTATCTTTGGGTTTAGAAAAACAGTGGTTTTACGAAATTTATAAGGACCTTGGAAGTAATAGTTAACGCTGGAGAATCAGATATTGAAATAAGCTAAGCTAATGTGAGGCCTCATTGTTAATTGTTTTGCTAACGAAATAATAGTATCGCTGAAAAACAATGAACGGGTAGGCAGTAGAAAAGGATAAGACGAGGCTTCAAACAGTTTTGAAGGTGAGCTTAACTCTGGTAGCAGCGTTTGCAGAGTTATCTTGTCAGGACTAGTGTCACGAAAATTTTGGAAAGTTCTGTGAAAAGTTAGACAGACAACGAAGCACCGTAATATTTAAGCTGGAACGGCACATCAGTTGGCTCACGACCCAAAATGTTTTAGGAAAATGGCCTAAATATAGTAATTTATTTGTGTCACAAAAAACTATGCTTTAAGATTTAGATTGGTTAGTTATCGATAATCAGTTTTACAGGTGAAGTATGTCAAGATTCTATATTTTCGTTTCTCTTAAGAAATTTTGGGGACCGCTGGTTAGAACTCTTCACTTTTGTCTTTTATAGGTCTCTGTTCATATCTGACTCGCTTAAAGATTCTCCATTTCTTAAGTCTGATGAACGTTTGAGAACGATCCCATTTGCTACTCGTAGACCATCGGCGGACGAGTTAATGCGAGTATGGCATTCTTTAAGTAAGTGCATAGCGACGCTTTTGTACCGAGTTAGCTAAATAATAATGGAGTCAAAAAGATGGTTTTTGGCATTTTACGTTCTCGTTTTTTGTCTCCAGTAGTAAAAACCTTGTAAACATTTGTTTCACACATTTCTAAGAAACTTTTAGGAGTAGTAACAGATCATGGCAAGATTGATGATTTTCGCAGTGAACTAAGAGAAAAAGCAGAGGCGAAAAGGAAAAGAAACAATGTTCAAAAGCTGCGCCATTGTTTTAAAAAAGAGAGTCGTTTACGTGATTTGTTGAGACCTGAGAAGCTCAGTTCCGAAGTTTCACCGATAGAGCAGGTGATTGAATTTTCCTTGCATACCATTGTTTTCGAGAACATGAACTGATTAAAAATCCATGTTTAGACTTGTAAGAAGGCTCTTCCTGAGGAAAGCGAACATGTGTTTGCTAAATCTGCTGAATCAGATCAGCTAACTCCAGAAGAGAAACAGAGGGCGTATGTGGCTGTTCGGACTAATTCTGTGGAAAAACTCAATGAATTGTTAAATTCAGACAGACGCCCAAAAGTTCTCGACTACTTGAAATTCGCTTACTTTCTGCCTGAGAGGTCTTCTTTGCTTCATATTGCTGCGAAACGTGGCGCGGAAAGTGTTTTACGGGTAGTGTTTGATTGTTGCTTCCTTTCTTATTAGAATTTATTGATGGCTTTGCCTTGTTTATTGGTTTTTATTGACTTTGCTATATAATTTTAGGAACTACTTCATATCGGTTGTGACCCCTGTGTAAAGGACGTTTCAGGATTAGTTGCGTATGAGGTACGCAGAATTATGTTGCAAAATAGTTGATGTATTCACATATTTTTTAAGTAAGAAAATATTGTTTCAAAGCTTGTTTAAGGTTGCAAGTGATTCTAAAGTGAGACGGGTATTCAGCGAGCACCGTGCAGGAAATCCCAATCAGTGGAATTGGACTGTCGCTTGTGTTCCGAAGTTGAAGGATCCTACTAAGGAAAAATTGCAGAGAGAGGCTGAAAAAAGAAAGATTCAAAAAGAACGAAGAAAGATGCGATTGAGGGCTAAGAGGGAAGAAGAGAAAATTGAAAAAGAGTTACAGGTAACACGTAATGTGTTTGTGATGTATTTTGAGTAAGAAGCTTTTTGTTCATTATTGAGCTACTTTTCATCAGGTTTTGTTTAGGCAGAAAGAGATGTTTTCCTTGCTCTTCCGGATAAGGAAAAGTGTGCCTTAGCTTTTGAGAGACGTTTGCCAGTGTCACTGCAACACACATCCGAATTGGTTCGAGAGGATGGAAATCGCTGTTTTCAAGTAAGTTTTAAAAGATTTATTGTTTTATTTTAATGTATAGGAAGTTTTTGTTTTTGGTTTTATTGAAAGCATTTTTTACTCTGCCTGATATTTGTGTGTTTCTTGGATTGTCTCAATGACTTTTATAAGAGATTTTGTATATTTTTTCCCCACTGCTCACAAGCCTGGTGTTAAAACACACCTTTTCGTTATACGATTTCACAGCTTTGCTTCCAAAGTCCCTGTTAAGTGAAACTGAAAGACTAAAACGCCTGTACGTAAAGATTTTTCTTTTTGTGTTTATATGTGCTGTTCGGTTGACTTAGGTGTTGTCACATCAACCTTCTAGTTTTGTATATCACTATATGGGGGACTGAAATTTTGCTATTCGCATTAAAGAATATTGTTTCATTTATTACCTCTAATATCAGTCTATCTTGTCTATTGGCTACTCGGCGATGTTCGTTTAGGTTTATTAAACATTGGAACTGATGATCATTTCGAGCTAAAACAGTAATTATTTGTGATAGTAACTTCTAAAACAGAGTTTGATAAGATTTCTGCTTGCTTACTTTGTGGAACCTACTGAAATAAGCGGTACTAAAGTTGTAAAACCACATGACCATTAAGGGATTCGGTTTTGTAATGAACTTGGAAGTGAAGTTAACCGTGGTTGAATCAGGAAAATATGTTTCGATGTGAAACCTTTTCAAAGAAAAAAGAAAAGTTTGCATATGTTTTTTACTCTGTTATGAATGAGCAAAACGTCGCAGGATATTTCATATGAAGTAGGGATGTAGTACAACTTTCTCAAAAAGCCGAGGATGTTTTTCATTCCGTATATACAGTGTATTTTATAAGGGCTTTGCTTCATGCTTTGTATGAGTGCATTTTTTTCATGATTTTTTAACTTTATGAGTACTTCGGACGTTGTTTGAAAAATTTTTTGCTGGGTTATCGGTAGCATTGGAGCTAAGTCATTTTGAAAAGGAAGTTAAAACGGTCTGATGTGAGCAGTGAGAATCTTATGCTATGTAAAGGCTGGGTGGGTGAAATATTTTTTAAACCGTTTGAATTTGCAAAAACAGTGTCAAGCACTATTTTTTGCACTTTTGGAAATATTGTGGTAAAGAGTAACCGATTTGTTACTACATATTTCGCCTCTGGTTTTTTTTTAGTGTGGAAGCATTTTACCTAAAGTGCCCTTCGAGTATAATAACTGTCGCTTCTGCCAAATATCATGCGTGAAGCAGCATCGTCAGTCGAGCCAGAATCTTACTCACTGAATCCCTAGTCATTGCCAAGTTATTCGTTGACAAGTGCATAAATCTTTTGTTCTTTGCTGGTGGCTTTTTTTTGCCCGGTTTTTCCCGGAAGTATATTTTATTTATTTCTGTTTTCAAATTTATGTTGTATTTGTACGATGTCGTTACAGATGTCAGCAACTTGCAGCCGCCCAATTTCTCACATGATTAAAAGGTTTTTCTTTTTTACTCATTTTTTGAAAGCTTTAAACATTGTTTAAAGGAAGGCCTCATTAAGGGTTGTCGGTCAGAAATATTTTACTCGATCGATTAGTGAGATGCAGGAGAAGTACTTGACGGAACCATGTATTTGTGTAGACGAACTTGACCGTCCATTGAGAAAGATGTCAAAACGTGATTGCCACATTTCTGATACTAGTTGGTTATTTCAAGAGAAACATTGTTAGCATAGTTCTTGTAATGAGTAACCATCTTTTCTTAGTTCTTCTCTAAGTATCTCTTGGTCATGTGTTCTTTGCTATTTTAGTGGTACTGCACCGGGCTTTCAGTGTTTTCCTTTTCACAACCAACGGATCATTACTAATGCAAAAGAGGTCTAAAGAAAAAATAACATTTCCATCTCTCTGGACAAATACTTGTTGTAGCCATCCTTTATGGACAGATTCCGAGATGGGTGAATCTGACAGTTTTACGGGCGTCTGTCGTGCTGCTCAAAGAAAGTTGAAACATGAGTTGGGAATCAATGTCAGATCTATTGATGAAATGCATGTGAGATTTTAGTGACAAATTTTCTAGTTTTTGCTGCTTGGAAATTTGTAGCGGCATCTAATTTACTTCCTTTACAAAGGTGATGGGTCGCTTTCTTTATAAAGCCATGAGCGACACCCAGTGGGGAGAAAATGAGATGGATTATGCTATTGTTATCCCAAATTTCTATGATACGACTGTTAAAATAAATAAAGATGAAGTGGAGCAAATTGCGTTCGTACACAGGGACGAATTTGACGCTTGGATGGTGAGTTTCTTTTTTGTCTTTCTAATTTTGTTGTCGGGACTGCTCTCCATAAAACTTCATTGCTTTGAGTAGAATTCATATGATCTCTGAGTTTTGGCCGGGATTCTGCGAGAATTATTCGCCAGATTCAATTCATTCTAAAGAATTTTATGAAATTTGGACCTTTCATTGAGATATAAGCCTTTTCATTACCGAACTACTCCTGAAGATCTTGCCAGAAAAATTTCTGCCGGAAAAGTTATTTCATACATAACTTCAAGACGGTTTTTAAGTATTCAGATCCCCATTTCGGAGAGGTCCTGTAGTCGCTAGAAAGGTTCTAATAACGAGCAGCTGAACTACACTAGTCTAACTAGGGGTAACCTACCGTTTTTTGACTTATATATTACTTTTCCAGCTACTTCGTGTTCCTCATAGAAGCCTACTGCAGTTCCAAAAGCTTTTTGTCCATCTGGAACATTTATTTCAAAATCAGTTTACACTTTTTAGAAAACTCTAAGAACGAGCTACTTGTTCGTGCTGGTTTAATTAGAGTCACCAGTCGATTTTTTTGCATTACATGCGTTTCTTTTTGCTTTTTTTCTTTTTGTAGTTTCCGAAAGTGTTTTGTTAATCGCGGACATTTGTTTCGAGACCGGCCTGTATGAGCTAAAAAGCTTTAAGAACGGGCTACGCGTCTATGTCGGTTTTGCTAGAGTGTCATACCTTAAGTTATGCGCCTTTATTTGTGCTAGTTCCTATCTTGTAGGAGCGCACGAAGCAGTTTGTGATGTTGCAGTGTAATGCAAATAGTACGAGGAACCCCCACGTTCCTACAGAATGAAAAGGCTGTATCTGGCTTTGAATCATGAACAATGGTGCAGCGCCACTTTATGGTATGGTGCGGCATAGAAATAAGTTCATCTAAAAAGGCAACCAACAAATTTAACAGAGATAGTTACTGCGTAACAATAATATAAATTTTAGTTGCCTGCTAGATTTCTTTTAAGAAGACATTAAACCACCATTTATCGTAATTGTTCTCTGAAAATTTTTTAGAGGAAGTATTGAAGAATTGGAGAAATAATACTGATTGCAAACAAGTGCTTCAAAATATTTCTTAAAGCTTTACAGTGTAAGGTCCTGTAGCCTGTGTCTCTTTAGTTCAGCTCCTCAGCGCTTCGCATCTGTCATCCTTTATAGCGCTTTACTCAAGGATTTTCAAGAAAACTACTTGGGTAGTTCTTCAAACAAGGACTTTTAAATATCTATTGAAACATGTTACAGTAGAAATATTGGGTAGATAAATGGCTTCAATGACAAACAAACCGCATCTGTCATTGGCTGTTGAAATCCATTGTTAACATTTTTAGGGTGGCAAGGAGTTTTCACCATGGTTCTCAATGTTCACGAAGCATCAGTATCTATTTACCTGGTGGGACAACTTGAGTCGCCTTCATGCCTTTCAAGATCTCAAAACAATACGTCGACTAAACTAGCTTTTGGGAAAATAAATTGTTTAAATACATGTCTCTTTAATTGTAACTGTTTCCTTGAAAGAATTTCGTAGCTTCGTTTAGGTGTTATAGTGTTGTGCAGTGCAGTTCATTTTGAAAAGTGCAGCTTGTTATGCATGTTATGAAACAAAAAAGTTTTTGTTTGGGAGATTAGCATGAGGTAGATAGAAGTCTCGTGAAGTATCAATGACAACGTTCGTTTTTTAAATGAGAGATCATCTCTACTTTGCCTTCTGCAGTCTAAGAAAGTAAAGGGAAGGACGACTTTAAATTTTTTTAGTGCAAGGGGTTTCCGAGTACACTGTTTTGCTACTGCGGTTTCAAAGGTCAAATAATTTAATATTTTTACTATAACTCAAAGTGGCAGGCTTTTATAAAGAGAACAAGAAATTGTAAAAGCTGTTGAGAACGGCAGATTTTGATGAGTAATTATTCTCTTAAGCACAAGCATGGCACTCTGTGTGAGTTACATGACTCAAGTGAAGTAAGTGTGATGAAAATAATTTGATGCGAGTAAAGTTATAATCAGTTTATAGGTCCGCCTTTGTAGTCTGAAGAATATTATTTCGAGCAGCTGTTTTTAGTTTTGCGTGCACACTTCCTTTTCCGACTGGATTGAGTAGGATGTGTTTAATAAATCTACGGAGCAGATCTATTTTAGGCAACGTGAGGCTCCACATAAACTATAACTACCTTAACGGGAAGACACTTTTATTTTAATGGTATCTAGATGTTTTATAAGGGTAATAAGCATCTTTCAGGATTTTACGAAGAGGTATATGTAAAAGACAACAATACAAAATGAAAAAATAGTCCCCTTTGAAAAATATCGCTTTTCGACGGTCATACTTTCATTTTCTAGATTCCTTTGAGCCTTGTTGAATAGTTGCAAACACGTTTTTATCTAATCAAGCAACGTACTCAACAGTTTTAGCCCACAACGTTTAGAGATACTAGATTTCGAGTGAAAAGAATGCCGCTTCACAGCTAGTTATCTTGTAACAACTAAGCACCTACCACTAATATGAACTAAAGAACGGTTAAGCTCATCCTGAAAAAATTTCTAAGTGCAGTGATGTGCAGAGGGTCTTATAACTTCTCCTCCATTCTCAGAAAACATACCCTGTAACCATCGTCGAAAAAATTATAAAGTAGGGTAGCTTCAGTCAAAATCTCACTATGTAGATTCCCGTTTGCAGTGTTTCTGTTGAGAATTCGTCTTAATAAATTTGTTTACAGCTGAAAGGATAATCTCATGACAAAGGGTTCATATATCTTGCAAAAAGGCGGAAAATGAAAGACTGCCCGTTAGCCATTCGTGTTCTCAGCCTTTTGAAAGTAATTAGTAGTAAGCTCAATGGTTAGCAGAGGGAAATTACACTCTGAATCTGAGGAGTAAACGCAAAAGAATAAAAACAGAGCAAATATCCTCCAAAACAAGAATTCTGACCTCGTAAGTAATTGACTGTGATGGAAACAAATTGAAAGATGGGCAATGAGCTAGTGGCAAGAATCATAAATTAATGGTGGTTATTCCATCAAGAACTCAAGAATGAAAAAATACAGCAAAATTTTTTTAAAACAGTGGTCTTGAATTACAGTTACAGCCGAGCGAAACAAAAGGGAAAGAAGTGACGAAACATTCTAAAAGAACCGGAAGTGGATAAATTTGTTCAATGGAGAAAAACATATAAATGCATTTTAAGTCTCTACTCTAAGTTAACCGTATCCTCTTGACAATGTACCTTAAGCCTACACTGTAAAGTAGCAACAGCCACACAAAAATAAAAGTTCACAGCCAGAACTAAAGGAAAGTTATCAAAATGTGGTAACGTAAAATTCAGTCATCTATATAACTCAAATCTTTGGGGCTCGCGACTTGTGAATTAACAACTTGGTCGTCATTCGGTTGCTGATCGGTCACCAACGGAGCCCCTACAAAAAATTTTGACATCATAAATTCTGCTACCGCGGCTAAAGTTAGTCCATCAACTCTGCAAAATCACTTCATTTCCTCTTCAGGTATGTTTTCGGCACCCGTCTACTCAACTTTCGCACCTTCGTAAATCCGTTCACTCTCTCTTTACTCTCCAAAAGATTAACTATAAACATTCTCTCCATCTAAAGAATTTACTAAGAACATGCTCCCGGCACTAATAAAGTGGTGGGTCATTATTTCACAACGGCAGGTTTTCGCGGGTAGTCGTAAGAGGAGAATATTTTGAATCCTCCTATCAGTCTTCTGATCACTTCAGCACTTCAGCACCTGACTGCTTTCATGCTGCCGCCAGGTAAATGAATTTTACAGACATGAACTTCACAGTTATGAAACTCCGCAGAATTGTTAACTATTTTCATTTAGAACTTTAGGTCTTTCAACCACCCAGTACACCAAAATGAAAAAAATACAATGACCAGCTGGACCAAAACAAAAAGCAGGTAAATATCTTTCTAAAATCTTTGGATAAATATACACTCCGAGGGATTTTTTTTAAATCTTAAAAACCTTCACATTGGATTAATATCTGCGCAATATCACAAGTGATTATGCATATCCCAAGACTATTCAAAAGAGGGCTAAGAAACAAGAAGATAACATTTTAAAGTTTTGTCTAAATGTATCCGGACCTTCTAGACTTTTAGAACCACAGCAATAAACCTATTGGGTGCCTGTTAAACCGCGCTGCTATCAGAAGGAGAGTCCTAGTAAACTGTATGGGTGACATTATCGGATGTCAACACTACACTTTAAAAAGTAAGAAAAAAATGGATAACGAAGAGGCAAATCTTTCCAGAGCTACGACGGACAGGTGGAACGAGGTCAGAAGCCCTGTATATAAAAACAAAGAAAGGAGGTAGAAGTTTCCAGGTAGATGCTACTTTAAACTGCGACAGCGCTTGTAATCTCATAACAGAATTTAGGAATCTAAATCATTCCTAGCTATAATCAAAATCAGAAATATCATCAGAAGTTTTACAACTTCACAGATGAAAAGAAGAGGGAATAGTGTGGCAATAACGAGTATGATAACTCGAGCTGTCTTCTGAAACAACGCGTTTAACTTTTAAAAAATGCAATCTCCTAAACTTTTCTAGATGCATTAAACAAATCAATGATACTTCACACTGGCTTGAAGCTGGAAATTTATTTTTGGACTGAAACACGCACCATTGTTGCATACCGCTTCTTCAGTGGCACAACCACTTTTTTCCATCAAATCCTCTTTTGTAATCGCATCACAGAGCAAGGGGATTGCTGAATGATCCAGTTCTCGTTGGCTTTCCATAGCAGCCTTTCCAAAATTCTCAACGAGGTGTTCGCGGACAGTGGGCACCGACTGAAATAACCAAATTTTCTTTATCTTGAAATTTGAAAACACAAAAAATAATTTCTTTACAAAAAAAAATCCACTTCAAGATATACATTTTTGGTTGCACAAAACTTTTAAACTTTTACCCAC